AGAGCAACGCTGCGTTGACTGGTTATCTTTGTCTATTCGCTGATAAGATACAAACAGGGGAAGCCTATCTAGATATGAGCAAAGCTCCGATTTTCATTTATAATAGCACGCACAGAGGTGGGCCAGTTCAATCGAACGAAAGTAATCGACGCGTCCACAAAGCGCGAAAAATATTTCAAAACAATTCATTATTTGCCAACATTCTAAAATTTAAGTTAATTTGATTAAAAGTTGAACAAAACTGCTTCAAGATGGGCTGCATGTCGGGAATACTGAATATTTTACTCTACATAATAAATATTGTGTTTTTGGTGAGTTACTCTACCTAAAAATATGAAAATATTGTAAAATGTGCATAAGTGAAAACAAATATAAATAATAGTAAGATTGTAATAATTAGCTGTTTTATTGTTTTTAAAACAATTAAAATTTGTAAATAACTAAGAATAAAAGTTAATCATAAGAAAATTAACAAGTTTAATAAAAATATATTTTGAAAAAATACATAAATATTTGAAATGCAAATAAGGAAATCTTATTCATAACATAATATTTTGAAAAGTTTTTGAAATTAAAAAATTGGTGGAATTTATAAGCAATTTTCAAAACATATCTTTTAAATTTGAATAATAAAAACTATTTCAATTCTCTACAAAAATTTCGAATTTTAAGTCTTAAGACAAAACTTTCAAGTAGCTTTAACTAAATTATAAGAAAATAAAAAGTAGAATTGTTGATAAATAATGATATAGATACAATTTTCCATAATAAATAGCTAGAATAAATTGATTGAATTATCTAAAGCCCATTTAAATCTATTCATAAAATTTATTTAGTTAGAATTATTATTAATGTGGAAACTTATAGGATTGAAATATTAGAAATTCAAGACAAGAAATTAATATATTTTTAATCTTGAATAATTTGCATTGCTTATAAAAAACTTATAAAAATATTTGTCACCTAAGTAGCGTATTACGCAGTTAACAAGTCTAAAAATACTATATAGATAATTATATACATGAATATATAGTAACCAATGTTACTCATGCGCCAGAGCTCATGGAATTATTTTTGTATATGACTATTTATCTATCTATATATATAATATATATAATGCGACAGTCTTTATCATTTCCAGTGACTCAAGCACTTGAAATGTAATGAGATTCTCATTATGATAAATGTAGAGAGGTGGACATGTGCTTGTTAGTCGTTATCAATGATGGATTTTGTCAGATTTGTGACAATGATAACAATACAAAAATTACCACGCATCCTGTATTAATAATATCTGACAAAGTCCATTCATTTTATTATGTATAAAATACATCCGAAAACATGATGAATCTATATCCAGCAATTTTCAACATCTTCAATTTATGAGAGTTGCATAGAAGAGCATTACCAATAAAAACCTCATTGTTATATAAAAATGTTTTCCTTTTTCTTATTAGGTGGTCGGCATATTGCTAATTGTGCTGGGCTCCATAATGCTATCGAACTTTAGCCAATTGACCGATGTCGAGCCGCTAACTAATACGAACACCATCCCAATCTGTGTGACCGTTTTGGGTGCGCTGATCTTTATCATCTCTTTCTTTGGCTGCTGTGGAGTCTGGCGTCAGAGCTCTTGTCTAACTGCAACGGTAAGCTCTCGTTATGATTAAAATGCATATAAATATTTATTTAAATTTTCTATTACTTCTGTTTAGTATGCTTCCATGATGTTCATCCTATTTGTGCTGCAATTGGTGCTGACCTGCTGGATAGCTGTGAATGGCCAAGATTTCCTTAACGATATGAGCAATTTGGTGAATACGCTTTGGAAAGAGAATACAGCTGTGAATAAATATCCAATGAGTGCATTGGAGCTCACATTCAGCTGCTGTGGCAACACAAGCTACAATAACTACCTCAACAGCAATCAACAGGTGCCCGGCAGCTGCTGCGGCTATCCGAATCGCCAGCAGACTTGCCCCGCTAGCATTTACGAGACCCGCAAGGGATGCAACCAGAAATTCACCGAATTCTGGAGCGATAATAACGATCTGGTGTTGTGGTCTGGCCTCGGCATTTGCATATACGAGCTGATTGTCTTCGTTCTTGCTGGCATGCTGGCCAAATGCATGCGCAATAAAAATGCCATGAGATAAGATGTATGCATTATAAAAAATCTGTTAAAGCTACTGTTAAGAATTACGAATGAATAAAAACAAAGAGACAGAAATATTGAGTTTTTCTCATTTATAATATTTATTTTTTTTATATATTAATAATATATTATTCCTTTTTTTTATTTATCAGAACAAGAAAGTTAATTTTGAAATAACGAAATATATATATATTTTTGTTAAATATGCATTTGTGTGTTTAACACTTTTATTTATTTACATTTTTTATTAAATATATTTAATTACGGCTTCTAATTTATTCAAGAATATTTTCATATTTCATTAATTTAGCTTTTCAAGCATTATTGTGCAAACCCCAAAAGTATGCAAAGCTTATTTATGCTATGCAAGTATTATATGAAAGCTCGCTGCATTTAAAGATAACAAAAGTTCCATAAAGTGCTTTATTACCGAACTACGTGCTGAAAAAACAGTTTGTTCCTCGAATTGAAGTTGTGAAGACTGTAGTCAACGCGTTCAGCACACAATTCTGTCTCTATTAAAATGGATTGTGGTGGAGTTTTTGTTAAATATGTGCTCTTCATATTCAATATATTGTTTGTGGTAAGTAATGGCTGAGACAGGCAGCTCAACTGTATGTTATGAAAAATAAAAACACTCATAGACCCAATCTTATCTCAAGCGTTTCAAAGCTCATGATCTTTTCACAAAAAATAAAATTATATGTACATATGTATATTAATATATAGATATATCGGTTTTATCTAATCTAAAAGAGCACTCTCATATCATAAATTGAGTGCGGAATGTCGTGATTTTTTTTTTCTAAATTACTTTTCTTTACATACTTATGTTGAGCGTAATTAGTGCTAATGAGCTGTGCCAGATGTTTCGAAACAGGCGGTAGATATGTAGCAATGTATATAGGGGTAGCAATGAGTAATATTTTTTTTTATGACTAATCCACTTGTAGTTACAGTTTCCGTAGATTTGTGAAATGCACTTTATAGTCACGAGGAATGCAATTTATTTTCTCTCATTGTTTTTCAGATATGCGGTATTTTGCTTATCGTGTTCGGTTCGCTTATGGTCTCGGAAATCAAAGATCTTTCGAGTGTGGACCAAACATTTACAGCAAATAGTGTGGCTATTATCATACTTATATTGGGCTGTGCTATCTTTTTAGTCTCGTTTATTGGATGCTGTGGTGCCATACGAGAAAATGTTTGCGGACTTACAGCGGTAAGTATTGTTGAAATTATTGAAATTTATATTACGTTCTACACTAACAGTGATCTTCTATACTTTTAGTACTCCATCATTATGTTGGGCTTATTTTTGTGCCAAATTGCCTTGATTGTCTATGTGTGGATCAATCATGTACAAATTCGGCAATCTCTTGATCAGGTGGTGCAAACGATTTGGGATCAGAGGAAAACGGATGGCCTCCTCATGGATACTCTGCAGAAATCTGTGAGCAATAACGAAGATAGTATCAGAGATCTGATTTTAATAAAATTCTTCCAATGCTCTAGCTAAAATGCTGTGGCCTATATAAGTTCTCTGATTACGGCACTGTCTATCCCGCCTCTTGCTGTGACTCCCCATCAAACGGAACTTGTAGCTTAACTTCTGTTTTGTTTAAGCCAGGCTGCAAATCGGCAGTTGATTCGCTTTGGGACACAAATGCCAACATTATTAAATATGCTGGACTGGGTGTCACTGCAGTTGAGGTACAAAAATAATATAATAATGTAGATTTATTCTTTGTATTAACTGATTTATTCGTTATTTTACAGTTGGTGGCCTTCATATTTGCCTGCTGCTTAGCAAATCAGGTGCGAAACAACGAAAGACGACAAAATTTTTAAATCTCTATTTATGAGACGGTGTCACTAGCAAAAATTATCTCCTATTTACATATGTACTACACAAAGTAAAAATATTTGCAATTCAATATTGTGTGGGCCACTCTATGGGCTTCGGTAAGAATTACTTCGTAATTTCAAAATGAGAATAAAGAACCAGCTAATTTGAAGAAATTAAATAATTTATAGTTCTTATACCCTGAACCCATTGAAAATGGGATATCAGGGTTTAATGGTTTTGTGAAAAAGTATGTAAAGGGCAGAAGGAATCATCGCAGACCCCTAAAGTATATATTTTCTTGATCAGCACGACGAGCAGAATCGATATAGCCCTGTCCGTCCGTCCGTATGAGTGCGTCGATCTCAGAAGTTATAAGAGCTAGAGAAATTTGGCATGCATACTCGTGTGTACCATACGCAGTACAAGTTTATCATATTTTTTCGATAACTCATCCGATAACTTTTTTATCGAGAATAATCGAAAAATTGATTTTGCTGTTTCAGTCTAATTTGAACACTTTTAGACCTAGGGTCTTCAGATTTACTGTGTATATACAGTTGATCGATACGAAGATTTTGCAATTTACAGATTTTGGATACCACGCCCTTTCCGCCCTCAATGTGTTCAAGTGAATGTACACACATTTTAACCATTTGATCACGCTCTGAAAGTTTTATCAAGATTGTCCGTCTACAGGAGAAATTACTCAACAAATAAATTCTCATAATATTGCCCACACTGCAGCGCCTGATTATACGTGCGTGTGGATGCGTGTGTATGAATGTGTGTATAAGAGAAATGAAGAATAATTGATTCTTTCTTATTAAATTCGAATACACTGCAGTCGAATAACATGTTTTTTAAATATTCGTTACAAATAAGCAGTATTTTATTTATAACAGCTTGTTTCGGTCTACAAAATATACTAAACTTCTCAAAAACTAAACTGATTTTATAAATTCCTTACTCTGGTCACACTGATAACCAGTTTTGTGTTATTCCTTTCGTCGTGCTCTGGTCAATTCAAAAACAGTTCTTCAACGAGTCGGACGTGTCGTGCGCGTGTTGCTTTAAATAGTAAAAGATAATTTGAATCGGAAAAGGTAATATTATTATAAAGTTTAAGCGGCATGGTGTGAATAAGTGATAAGTGTATCTCTGTCTCTCTCTTTCTCTCTATATATATATATATATACATGCATATAAATGTATGTATGAATGAATTTGAAGTGTTCTTGTTTAATTTGCTTTGTGCTACGTGAGATGCTGCATTGCTCGAAAACGCATTCATGTGAAAGTGGTTGAAAACGGAAAGTGCGAAAGCACGCTGAAGAAAAAAGAGACATGAAATATAAAGCAAAGACGCACTTCGTCGTAAGAGAGGAGCTGAAGAAACAAGAAAATATTTACAAAAATCAAAGACAATATGTTGTTGTTGCTGCTTTGTTTTTAGTATCTATAAACTCTTCAGACATTTGCTAGCCTTGTTGTTGGTGTCGTTGCTAAGACAACATAAAATTAAAGAAGAAGTACGCAATTTGCGATCTAAACAATTTACGACGTAAACAGTGTGCGTGAAGTTCAGTGCTTAATTTTGGAAGTTAATTGCTGCTAACCGTGAAGCATTTTGAGATGTATAAAAAATTTAAGCACCTTAATGCGAGCTCATTTGCCATTTAAAAAACATTATTTTAAAGAAATATGTACGCTTGTTACTCATGTTTTTTATTCCGCCAAGGTCAAACCGGTTTTTAGCGGCTAAGTATAAAGCAGGAAGAGGCGTGACCAATAAAAAAAAAAGTAAAACAGAAAACGACTGAAACAAATGCAATTAATTAAAAATTATAAAATTGTATATTTACCTGGAATGAAAAAATTCAAGCAGAAATGAACCTTAAAACTGATAAAACGCCGAGACATATACATATAAACACACATAAATTCCAAATATAAAACATTTTCAAAATCTGTTTAGTTAAATCAATATTGTTTCTCTCTTTTCAAATTTAAAACATAAAAAACACAGGCCAGAGTAAAAATAATAAAAAACACAAGTTTATCTTAGTAGATAGATCAACTTTCCACTAGATAAAATAAAATTAATTAACTGTACAAATCATGTTAATAGCATGCATATTGGACTTGCATAACGCCTAATAGCAACATCCATTTACATAATTTGAACTTGCTCGACGCCAAAAACGTTAAACTCAAAGCCAATCATATAAACATTTATTTACCTATTAGTCAATAAATTATTTATATTTATGTGATTGTTGCTCAACTGATTTACTAATTTATTGACTCTAATGTATTGCAGGAAACCAACAATTAAGCAAAATGGATTGTGGAACATCTATGGTTAAATATATACTCTTTATATTCAATACCATTGTGTCGGTAAGTAAATTTCATATATATTTATATATGTATATAGAATTATGTAGACATATTGATTTCACAAATACTTCCAGCTTTGCAATATACATTTATTCTATTTGAAGCAGCGAAATTGTCTTGGAATGTAAGTCCCAAGCAGATTATGTGCTCTCAAAGCTTTTTTGTTTTGTTGAAATACCCTACAGATGTTAAAACTAAGAGCGTGTTTGAGATTAGGGCCTTATGTTGCAAGCGAAGCATTTTAATCTAAAACTGATTAAAGAAGGATGGTTCATTCTTCTATAAAGCAATCCCTCTTATAGTTAAGAATGATTGTAATAGAAAGTTATTGACAGCTCATCCTTTGTATAGTAGATGTTTTAGGTTATATTAATGGCGATAAGGAATAATATTTTACTTAGTTATATATTTACGAAGTATCTGCTATTCGCAAACTCTTAACTGTTTTTATTTAGCCAGCCTCGTTTTTGGCATGGCTGGTTTTGCGGCTATGACATCATCGTTTATATAATATACATATACCTACATACATATATATGTATGAGTATATGTATTCAGCCTCCCAAGGCAGACACACTCACGCATGCACGCATACTTGAATAAATATGTGTCTGTATCTGTAGCAGTAGCAGTAGATGTAGCAATAGCTATATCTGGTATATACCAGGGATGTAGCTGATGCTGCAAACTGTAGACACTGCTGCTGAGCGGCGGCTTAATCTCAATTTCTGTGCTTATGAGCAACATTTAATATATTTTGCTTATTTTCGTTCGCTACTATATGTATACACAGCTGTACTATATACAGCTGAGGTTTGTATAAATCCCAATTTGTATATTTATTTGCTGCTCAGGCTTTAATTGAATTTGCCACAATTCAGAAGCGACGAATGATGTCATTATATCGTGATGCGAAGTGAATCAGTTTTCAGAGAAATGCAACGTTTTCTGATAAGATGAACGACACAAGCACACTCAGTAATTGACAGTAATAACTGAGAAACAGACGTGTTAGTTTGATCAGCAGATGTATGACTCAACGTGACACCTTATATACAATGTGTCGTAGGTATTGCTACGCATTTGCAATATTAATTAGCGCAAATATTTATGCATACAAATAGTTGAAGAGAAACACACACCTTAAAACAAAATTGCTAACTGAATTATAGCATATGCTCCTTGAATAAATAAATATATAACAAAATATGAATATGGTAACCACCAGCTTAGGTAAACCATTTGAAGCGAGGATGAAATACACTAAATAAGTTTAATAATAGAATTATTGCTATAATTATTCTTGGAAAATTTTCAAGCTGTCAGAATACTTTTTAACATAAGCGTTCGCACATATACATATATAATTCTGTTAGCAAATTTTTATTAAAAGCTTGCAAAATGTGAATCAGCTAAATAAACCAGAAAAATACAACATGAAATTTTCGTCGACAAATTTAACAATTTAATAAAGAATAAGAAATAAGAATATAACAAATAAAAGCAAAAATACAAACTTGTTGCATGAGCCAGCAACTGGTGGAAAGAAGAAGCACGCGTTATTTACATAGTTCACATTTACACGTGCAAACTCACCTCGGGTTGTTTACCTGTAGATATATAAAGGTATATACACACTGATACATATCTGAATCATTATATGTGTGTGTGTGTCTTTGTACATAACATACTTGACAGTTAAAGCAAGCAAATTAACAGGTACAACAAAAAGCCGCCTTTGAGCGTCGCTTGGCCAGACGAAAGAAAAAATACGAAATAAACACGAAGTTTGAACCGAGCCGAAGCTTAAATATACTTGTTATGCTATAGAATTGTGACTGTATACCAAATCTTGTAGAGAAGTATGATAAAATATTTGTGAACGCTTTTCTCATGCGAAGCGAAATCAAATCGTTTCGATAAGCTCACAAAATACATTAGTTTCAGTAATCTGAGCTGGCTGTAAAATGCATCATAATAAACAAAGTACAAATTTGTATATCTATTTGTTTCTTTATTATTATTGTATTTATGACGAATTGCTGGACTATATTAAAGCATGACAAAGTGCTTGACAAAGTCACAGGAGCCTTTGTGAGAGTACATATAACGATGAAAAAACGACGCAACGCTCGAGAAAGCAACAAAACATTGTGCAATTCGCTGGTTAAATACAAAAGGGAAACTACAGACCAGAGATACAGATACAGGTACAGGTACACGTATATGTAGGTGCACGTACACACATACATACAGACAGTACATTGAGTATAGGGTCGTGTGTGTTTTACCCAGATTCAGGTACACGAAGCATACTTTTTTATTTGTTTATATTTTCTACACGTCTGACTTTTGAGTATCGAATGCGAGTTAGAATGCGAGCTGCAACCAGTTAACGACAACCCTGAATGAGTTATATATATATGTAATATATAGAGGTATAGCTGTATATTTGTTTGTAAATGCACATACTTGCATATATAAAGTTTTAAAGCTTTTTTATCGTTTAAATCGTTTAATATAGTTTCATTCAAATTATGAATGTTTGCTTTATCTCTTACGTTTTAATACGAGGAGTTTTTTTTTGTGTATATGTATAGAAAATATTATATATTTATTATAAAAATACATATATACATACATCTGGTCATGTTTTGTTTCCCTTTTTTCCACAAAATTGTTCCCACATTATTTGCAGCGTTTGCGATTCTATGAGTTTGAGTTTCGCTGCTGTATATCGTGTTTGGGAACTATAAATATACCAGTAGAGTGTGTAATTATTTTAGAAATTGCGATACGCTTCTAATCAAAATATCACATGTTCTTTTTGTGTATTTCGATTTTTTATTTGTGTGGCCTCGTATCACGCATACGTCCTGTTGCACAAGCGGCAGCAGAATTTTGTATACAACTTTATCTCGCTGTTCACTTGTGTCGGTTCTGATAAGTAAATAGTTACAAATGGAGACAAGCTGACTTGCGGATAGATGAGACATTCAACACACATAAACAGGAAGAATTTGGCGTCGTTTGGTCGGCCCATTAGAGTAAGGGTGTGGCTCTTACGTTGCGAGCATCGAATTTCTCTCCTCTGGAGTATTTATTTATTGCAATTGATGAGTGCCAAAATAACTTTAAGTATCTGTTTGTAGGGGTTGTTCTCAGGAAGTGCCGCCACGAAAAAATAAAAATGAGCTCAGACTTTTTGGGTCTTTTTGTTGTAGGCTAAAGACATAATAACCAAAGCTTGGCCTTTATGTGAGTGCCAAAGCATACATTTTTAAAAGTTTTATAGTTGGATTTTATTATTCAGTATCACCCTGTCAGGCATTGTTTTTATTTTGCTGAGGGTTGTCAGTAAGAAACGTACGCTTCAATTTGCATTTGAGTTTTTGAGGCATGACGTCATAAGATTCAAATGAGGAAATCATTGTGCAGCTGATGGGACTGTTATTTTTATATACATGTATGTATATATACAAATATAAATACAAATATATATATTTGCCAGTTGAAATAATTGCTCATGATGTTTTAATTAGGCTAGACTTTTGTTTTTTATTTTCTATTGAGAAAGTGGAGCATTCAGTGCGGCTTCAATAGCAGAATGTTGCCTTTGTTGGCACTATTTGGGTCAATTATGCTACAAATTTGGACAAGACCTGCTCTGAGCATCCATTCAGTTCAGAAATTAACCAGAAAAATAATACGCCCACAAATCGGCAAGTATAACAAGTAAAAGTGCTTCAGTCGCACTTAAGGAAATTGGCTGCACGCTATAAAATTTCATTTCTTTATTTGTTTCTTTTTTATTTGTTATAAAAATTAAAATGCTCATATTTATGGTATGCTTGTGTGTGCATATATCAAAAACCAGATTTATGTTTTATTTATTTATTTTGCATATTGGGCAAGTTAGGAAAGCAAACAGATAAGTGGAATTCGCATGGCTTTTGTATAGTCTCAATAAAACATTTTTCGCTTTTTCAGCTGCTATAAGTTATATATAAACAAAATATCTTTACTTGCTAAGCTACAGGGTATGCGAAACAGTCAGAGCTATATATATATATATATATATATATAAAATATGTTAGCGTGCAACAGTTTGCATAATAAAATCTAGTGAATTCGATTAATTGGCAAATAACAATTGTTGCTGCACTTGATATCTGCGTCGATTCAAGTTGTTCAACGCAATAACAATAGCAGAGAATTTACATACATTGTTTTGAATCTTGAACTCTAGTTACTTTTTACAGCTATCTCGAAAGTATATATATATATTACGTACGTATTAAGTTTAAGATGAGGCTTATCTAATCAGCAGCATTTAGCCTTGTAGCACTGTGCGTAGGCTTAATGCGATTTTCTTAGCAAACAAAGCATTGCCGCCTGCCCAAATATTTACAGCTTATATACTGTGCAATTATACATACATACATATATGTGCTACTTTTGTATTTAATGAGATACTTTTTAATTCAACTAGTTGCTTGCATTACGTCAGCAGTGTTGCGCCTGCTAATTTTAATAACCATTAGCCACGTACTTCTGGCCCTAGTTATCCCTAAGGTCACCCGAGGTGGGTGGCCGGCCCCAGTTGTAATTAAGAACTTTTATAATTTATCTTTGGCATGCTAATTGTTGCTCTCTCACTCGCACACTCAAACCATCTCAAATCATCTGGCTCTCCTTCAATTAAACATAATTGACGCAGTATAATTCGACTGCAACTGCAACTGTCAACTGTAGCTTTGGCCTCACGCGATGGCTGGCTGTATAATGCAGGCTGATTGTTCCATTTACGGCACCTTATATATAAGGTTAAATATATATACTTGCTCAAAAATTGATTAAATGTGAGAAATATTTGTGTGTACAGCCGGATGTTAACATGCAGTTGGAGTAAAACCATAAGAGACATTAACAATAATATAAAAAAATTAATTAACTGGATTCCTGAGCTAATGAGCAGTTCTGTTAAACAATAACACAAACAAGAAATTAATATATTATATTCGTAAAATATTTTACAGATTATTGGCATTTTGGGCATTGTGTTTGGCGTGATCATACTGCAGAGCGTTGGCACCATTGAGGTCAATGGCCAGACCGGCTTCCCACCTCAGGCAGCGATGCCCATCCTGATGATCACCCTTGGCTCTCTGGTAGTGTTCATCTCGTTCCTGGGCTGCTGCGGTGCCATTCGCGAATCTGTGTGCATGATGATGAGCTATGCCGTCTGTCTCTTGGTCCTGCTCATTCTTCAGCTTACAATTGTTGTACTGTTGTTCACTAACAAGGAGAAGTTCGATACTGCCATGGGTGAAGTGATTGACAAGGCCTGGGCTTCGCCGGAAGCCCGTGAGGGCGGTGTATTTGATGCCATTCAGAAATCGGTATATATATAATTTAATTATTACCAGCCATATTCATTGTTTTAATATTTGGCTTTTGTTTATCCTTTTTAGCTTCATTGCTGCGGCAGCAACGGTGCTCAGGATTACGTTTCATTGAGCTTCTTTAACAGCGGACTTCCTTCTAGCTGCTGTGATGGAACTTGCACTAATCCATTGAACATTTATGGTGGTTGCCGTGCTAAGTTTGTTGATTTCATGTCTGGTAACTCCGAGAAGGCCAAATACGTCGGTCTGGGTCTCATTGTTGTTGAGGTGAGTTATCTTTTTCGAATCAATTGAATATCGGTTGTAAATAAATGATTTCTTATTTTCATTACAGCTGGTTGGCTTCATCTTCGCTTGTTGCTTGGCAAATAATGTTCGCAACTACAAGCGCCGCAATGGTTACTAAATCAAGCATTTAAATACAACGCAACCATATATATACACACACTCACACATACATTCTCATTAACTCTATAATATGTATTGCCGTACAACGCACACACAGAGTAAAAGAAAACAAAAACAATGTGAAATATTGGAAATATATTCGATGTAAACCATTTGGTTACAAAAATATTTAAGTTATTTGTTTAAACAAGAAAAATGAAACTATTTTGCAAAAAATGAATTATAACTAAAAATCGAGTATAAACTAGTGTAAGCGCTTAAATATTGTCCAAATATTACTTTCATAACAAATTGCTCTTTTTAATTACCTAAAAAGTAAAAAAAAAAAAACAAACAAAAAAATCCAAAGTCGTACAAAGCTATAAATAACAATAAACAAAACGCTGATGGACAGCAACAACAATTTATGTTACAATAAGCAACGAAGAGCGAATCTTGATGTTGATTTTTATAAATTTATACATACGAATACTATGTAGTGTTAAAGCCTTATGCTATATTTGTACCAGTGTACAAGTGTCCAAATGAATATATGTATACATTAAAAGTTGTTCATCATTTTATCTGTAAATTGGAATCTCTTAAAGTTTTTACATTTGACCCACATTAATATGAATTTTGAAGTAAAAGTGCAGTCAAAACTCGAATGACAACATCGTGAATGAATAAAGCATTTAAGACGTATTTATATACATATACAAAATAATAATAAAAAGTGAAACGAACCACATGTTATGCGTGTTTGCATTCCTAATTATATGGAAGCCTTGTGAGTTGTGTGTTGCGAGTACCTATAACAATAACTCGCCATGCAAAATAATTCCCGCGCTGCAGTGCAGTAGCAGTGGCAGTGGCAGTGGGTTTTGTTGTGTCCCCAGGCGTTGACATGGCAGCCACAGGCTTGACCTTCGGTTTCTTTAACATTTTTGTTTAACCAGCAATTGACACACATATAAGTACAGATATTTGCCGGTGTGATTAGCGTATTGTGTATTCAATTCAGGCAGAGACTATTTGGGGGTTGTGCTCGTATATATATATTATGTATGTATATTTGGCATGTTTCATTTTCAATGAAATACTATGAGGGAATTTATTGTTAAAATATTAAAATCCATTTTGATGCCATATGTAGATGTTTTCACACAGCTGTAGATTCTGGGTAATACCTAAAGTTTTGTACATACCACTTATTTTTATGTTGAAGCTAAATATAGATTACTTTCAGGGCTTAAATTTATTTAAAGCAAATTGATTTTTTGTAGACAAATTTAAACCTGATTAGAATATCTTTTAGTCTATGGTCATGTAACATTTATGTTTACATGATGTAAGAGTATGTGATATATGAATAAAGAATTAATTGAGCAGCCATAATTGAGATAATATATCATTTATTCAAATGATTCTTATAATCAATCAAATCATCCATGCTATATAAGCTATATGAATTCTATATGAATGATTAGTAATATCACTAGAATGATAGCCACACAAGGATTTTTCTATCATCTTTTTACATCGTCCGTATTTATAGTTACAACAAGAGATTGTTCTCTTGGATTTGATGGATTTGTTTTCATTGATATCTGAAGAACGTCTTGCAGCGATCTACAACATTATTCGGTTTCAATTTGAATGTTAATTGTATGTAAATGTATTAATATAACATTCCGCATATATGGCTCTACGGTTTATAGTCACAATAAGAAGGAGTTTCTGACTGCGAATGAACTGCAGAAATTGAACTTTAGTCAGATGGATTAAGCCATAGAGGAAGATATATTAAGCTAATAATATAATTCATTAGCCTAATACTCGGTAATTAACATAATGTGCATATGTACTCCTATATGACAATTGCTTGCATAGTTTCAGTTGTTTCTTTTTTCTCATACTGAATTTGCTCTTTGGACGTTAACGGATAAAAATGTGCATGAGCTGGAAAAATATAGGCGCGGCAGCTCTAACATGTTCCTTATTCTACAATTCGATAATGTTAATTGTTGCTATAACATTTATGCGTCGCTGCTTCGATGACTGCAACGATAACACTAAAGGTAACACCTTTAAAAAGATGATTAATTGCATTTTATAATAATAATTCTGATTAAGGTCCATATCATGAGGACTGTTACAGCGCGTATGCCTTATATACGCTATATCTGCCATCAGTAGTTGCTAGTCCACTTATAATGCTAACCGATAAGAGCGTAAGTCAAGATTTATATACATATATATTATTAGTCACGATTTCCTCTTTAGAGCATTAACTATCTGCAATGGTGGCTTCTGGTGCATGCAGCACTTACATGTTGCGCCTACTTTAATTATATATGCTATAGTCCGTTTTATTCAGATAGTGATAGCGATATAAATATCGTTGGATTTGGTAAGTATTCGCTTATTTGAAATTGCTATATCTATAAATATTGAATTCAAAATGTATTTAATCTTTGCAGCTTGTCTGGTGTTTGCGTTCGGCACTGTTGCCTTTCATTGTTTTCGTGTGCTGCGTTCTCCTGCGCCTCAGGCTCAGTCAGATCCTGCGGAAACAGCCGCTTAGGGCCAGTTTTCTCTCTTTACATCCTTATCTTATTATATAAACAATTCAAAAGTTTCGTATTCTATTGTGTCTTCTGGTCATCCTTATTGTTGACATGCTTTGCTTTTTAAACTTATAAATAAATAAATATGTATATATATACATACATAAAATAAAAATTTTCAATAATTCATGTAAAGTGGAATATCTAGTGATAAACATTTTGATTATTATAGCCATTTTCAATTATTATAGGCATTATAATAATTATGGTTATAAGCTATCTCATAAATATGTATATATATTCCAATTATTAAAATTATAGCACTACTTAGAGTCAACTTTTTGATCAGAAAACATTCGAATTCAGTCACAATGTGTCGCGAATTAATGTTTTTGCTCTTTTTGGCTTTTGTATGTCTTAACATATTTTTATCCTTTATATGCATACATGAATTGATTGTTGAGAATGTTAATATATTCGAAGATGATGCAGGTAGGCACAGGTGCTATTCTTCAACTAGGATATGTATATATTCATATTTTACAGAATATGCGTACTCCATGTTCGTAATACAGGCATTAACAGAGTTCTTCAATTCGCTTTGTGGATTGCTATTTGTTTGCCACAAAATGAAGGTGCTAAATAATAATAATAAAAAAATGGATAATATTTATTAATTTTATGGTTTTCAGATAAAAGCTGTGCTATTCACTTGGGTCGTTATGGCTATGCTTATGATTTGCTTATCGTTAAGCTGGGAAATCGTTTTTGTAACACGAGAAAAATTTATTTTCGATGGATATAGCTTCAATACTTGTGTATTTATTAAATGTAAGTTTCGTTTTTACCTACGATTTATATTTAATTTGAATTTTTCTTCATAGTGTTCGGATTGAGCTCTGTTGTTGTGGTATATAACTATATACGTGAATTTATATTACTTTCAAATAAAACAGGAATTGCTTAAAATATATGACAAGTGTACATATAGCAATGAACAGCATTGTACGAATCAAAGCTTTTTTCAATTGCTGAGCTTTGACGGGGAAAAGCTGCAATGAGGTACGTCAAAGCTTTTCGATTTCGCTTTAAAAGTCTCTTGCTCTCTCATTTGTGACGTCACGCCTGCGTGTGTACAAAATTAGCTTGACGAAAGAAAATAATCGGTGGCCGGCAAACAGTTCGCTTTGGTAGCTCTCAGTTATTCGACGCACGCGAATCGAATTTGTACCTGGCCGTCCGTGCTAGAAGTTGGCGCCTGATTCTTGATAGTTCCGCATATATATGTACATAGAAAATCGCTTGTACATAGACGCACCTATGCAAAATGCCTAAAAAACCGTATAGCACATAAAGCCTGCTCGAGTTTGTGATTTCATTAAAAATAGTCACGACGTCATGTGTCATTGATTGTCGCGAACATATTTGATATTATTCATTTTTGTTATTGCTGACACTCTAAAGTTTGATCCATGATCTCATAAAAATATACGAATCATCAGCAAGGCAGCGTGAGAGCGATAGTGAGAGCGAGAGCGAGAAATAAAGTGAGAACGAGATCGAGTGAGCTCTAGTCAAAACGAACACAAAAAAAAAAAAAAAAAGAAAAAGAAAACAAGTTTCTTTCTGTGTTAGCACTGCGCAAGTGGATTTGTATTGCTCCATACAGGAATTTGAAGCATTTGTGGATATAGCAACAGAATGGCATCCACATCGGGTTACAAAGTATTTGCCTATGCCCTGCACATACTTTGTACGGTAAGTTGAGAAGAAAATGTCTAGATAATTGCCATCAATTGTCGCAAATACACTGCCAATTCGTTTGTTTACATGCCCAATTGGGGCGATTCTCCCTTTATTAGCATCAATGAAAGTATAACTCAGCCACTTGTATCAATTTTCCTAAACACCTTTATGTATAGACAAGCATATGTGTAAAAGCTTGATAAGTGAATTGGACTACAATGGCTTTTATTATCAGCTTTGTTAAACCTTATCGCCCAAAATCTTTGCATGAATAATACAAAAAAGTTTTGCATGAATACAAAATACAAATGGACTTCCTAATTTAATGCAATTGGAAGATCTAGTCACTTTGTGAGGTCGCTAAACAAGTATTCGACCCTGAGATTATATTTGAAGGTAGAGTACCAACAAATATATATTTGATTTCTCTAAACGAAGTTAGTATGAAGTATTGTAGTGTGCCTAGCAGCTTTTTTATACATGGTGAGTCGATAAAACAGCATAATAAAGTTTGAGGTTCAAAGCTCACGTACTATAAAAGAGCTATATCACTATATATGTATAGTATGTATATGTATATATGTATTTCGTCATCTGATTTACAGTTTTAACAAATGCTCTATGACATATACGCTTAGAAGAGTACACCCAGGTTAAAATCCCTTTTTTCGGATCAGCAAATAACTGTACTGCAGTGCAGTAAAGAAAAACGTCACAGCTGTAAAGCATTCAACATTTCTTCTATAAACAAGAGACTTGCACTTAGCACGTTTCTAGAAATCTAAGTAAATTGTGTTCACGGCATACTAATAGATCTTAAATAGCCCGAATATGCATAGGTGTAAATATTTACACCATTTAACTTTGTCATTGAACCCGTTGTTATTAAATTATTTAGCGCACTCGTATGCGTTTGTTAGTTTACCTCAAATATTCAAAAATATTTGATATATTTGAATGAACACATGGTATATGCCACATATAGAAGCACATATATAAACATGCAGGTTAAATATATATATTTTCATCAAATATGGCTTACATCAACTGGCAGTTTATCAATTTTCCATGTACATATAATCAATTGTGAACTGAATTCTTAAATAAAGTCTGACGTCTGTCTGTCATTTTCTATCGCCTATAGTATAGATTCATTAAACTGTTTTTTCAACATTAAAAAGAAGATATATAATATCAATATATACATAAATAAATTTCTATTAAATTTTGTATTTACTGCGTGCCTATTTTAATCAAAGGACTCTGTTCTCATGCTCATTCCTGTCAGAATCTAGTGCTCATGTGACAACAAATCTAACACGTATTCCGTAAACTAATCATACCCTGTAGCTAGTGTGGCTGTGGGTGTATATATTCAGTGACTTATGTACAAGTTAGAACTTGTTTATTCTACACTTTTGCCGATTTCTAACTTTGATTTATAGCCATAGTCATATCACGATGTATATTATATATGTATTTTGATTGAGCACAGGGCGTCTATTAGTCGCGTTCTGTTTCTGTTTGTGGATGGAGTGTCTCTCCCTATGCCTCGGCTACTGTCGCCAACTAGACTAGTCTATTGGACGCCTATGTAGCTCGAGCGTCCATTAATGTGGGAGCGCACACAACATCTCTATTACACACACACACTTACATATAGTATAAAGTATAGACACTTCCAGGACATTTCCGTTTGAGTAAGGTCAAAAGCATAAAAATAGCGCAATGTTTTGGAGTTGCCCTTTAGCTGTTTATGTATTTAGATTTTATTTATGATGTATTCTATATTTTTTTCCTGCTCTTATTCTTCTTCTAGCTGCTGGCACTGGTGCTGATATCTTTTGGCATCTATATCCTGGTATCCTACGATACAAACGAAGTTGGCTGCTGGACAGCCTACGCATATATCGGCATTGGCGCAGCGGCCATAATTATATTTTTGTGGGGCTATCTGTCCGCCTGGCGGGAGCATGTTTGCTGTACAGTGACTGTAAGTGGTTAACCTACCTACATAACTATGACATCAACCCAAACATTTCAATGATTAATCAACCATTATTTTTTTATCTGTAGTTCATTACCATATTGTGTGTGGTTATTATTATTCAACTGGCTGTCTTGTTTGTGCTAACGAAAGGCGAAAATACAGCTGCATCCAATTTGGCCAACTCATTGGAAACGACCTGGGAGGAGGAGCTCAATAGTCCTGGTGCAATGTCATTATACGAGAACTGGGTGGGTATTAAAATAGATAGATAAATAGATTTATCATTACTATTTTTAATGTTGCTATTAAATGTATGTGCTAAATATAATTAATCAACACTGGTAAAGCAGCTTAAGCTTTTAAGAACTTAGAAACATAAAATCGAACATATTTAATAACTTTTGGTTCTTTGTTGCCAACAGTGCCTAACTTAATCAAGCTTGATCATGCATACCACCATCTACTCTATAAGTATTTATAATTTTTTATTATATTTAAAAAACCTATTCAACATTATAAATTACCCATTATACGAATTACTTTTACTAACAGAGGTAACCTTCGCCTAGTTTACTTCACTTAGTTAATTTGCTGAACTCAACCCATACTATAAAATTCGCATTTTACAGTTCCAGTGCTGCGGTCGCGGTAGTCCTCAGGATTATATCGTGAATGAACGCCTGCCGCCGGCAACATGCTTCCGAGATCACGATAAAAGTAAATCGGAAAATTTGATTCACAGAGGCTGTCGCATAGAATTCGAAAACTATTGGCGGCACCTCTTGAGCATATTCAACATAATGGGCTGGCTACTGGTCGCCGTTGAGGTAAGATACTTTTTATACTATATCGCAGTAATACGATCTTTAACATTGTTTGTATATTCCAGCTGATCCTTAGTTTTGTATCCTGTGGACTGTGCAACAGTATTCGCAATGATCATCGACGTTCGTACTACTAAGATGTTTTGACCGTCCAATGGGAAATTTGCATTTGTTGAGATTACTCTTGCTTCAATTAAAAATATTATATGGCGATTAAATTATTTTACTATTTTTATGTATGTAAAGTGACTTTACCTCACATCACAATACCTTACGAAAACAAAAACAAAAGAAAACACAAACAAAAACCAATTGTTACCATGTGCCCAAGCATTTAAAATTAGGGATTTTCTAGGAAAGTGCTACAACAGTTGAAATGGTTTTCGATGTACATACAAGAATATATATACACATATATATATATAAATGTTATTGTTATCAAGTTAGTTGCTTTTTAAGCTTGTATAGCTTTACTTACACAAACAACACAATTTTGTATGTACTCTTAATATAAGACATGTGAATTAATTTAATTGAATATTACTTTTTTAGTGAAAATAAAAAAGGAAATAAAATAAAATCTTGAACACAGCATGTGACTTTTGTTTTTATCTACATATATAATGGGTCTTTAGCCAACACTTTACTGATTATCTTGAATGGCATAAAATAATTAAGAAATTCGAGCAATTTTTACATTTAACTAACTATATGTTAAATATAGCGTTTTATGTCAATGAAAATATTATTATTAAATATTTTCAGCTCGACAAACGCATAACGATAAAGTCTAATTATTTAACAGTAAGATAAGCACATTGAAAAATTATAAATGAGAAATAAATTAAAAATTAATTAATATATAAAAGTGATAGATTTTTCATAAATATATTTAATACATTAATACAGCTAAACTGAAATAACTTGGGGCACAGAACATTATTTTTACTGATACTAATACAGAATTATATTTTTAGCATAATTAAAAAGAATATTTCAAATACACTTGAATCAAACTCTGAGCATCAAATTAGTTGGTTTTCTAAATATTTTAGTTGACTTTTGCTTAGGCCTATTTCGAGATGTTTTCTAATTTGCTGATCTAATGTAGCAGCCATGAATCATCCTGTGCAAAGTTTACAACATTAGCATATATACTAGATTTGCCCGCCTATGTCCCGCCTCGACCCACTTCCACACCGTTCCCTCAAGCGAGCGCGCTGAAAAGTATGTAAAGCAACTATTATAAAAATAGCGCAGCGACAAAAGTTTTGTCGCTTTTGCTGTTTTATTTTCCAACTTGAGGTATGTGTTCATACATATACAACGGTTCAAAAAAGCAGCGAGCGACCCCTGTTATGTCGACGCCCATGCCCAACACAAACAGCACGCGGTCGGCTCGGTTGCTGTTTCGATACCAGCACGTTCCGACGTGCCGTTCTATTTTCAAATCGTTTCTGTTTGCTTTGTTGCTAAAAACGTTTTCGCTATCAACAAATCAGTTAAGATTCGTGCGCGAACATGTCGGGTTTGGTTACCCGAGCAACCGTTAAAAGTTGAAATAAATAGAAAAAATAAGAAAAGGAAAATATTTAGAATTTCAAACAAGTGTTCGCATTCGTTGCCAAGTGTTTTTATAACCAAATGCAGCAGTGGCAACTTAAATGAAAAGTGTTTTTCGTGCGGCAAAGAAAGCTCCAAAAATATATATATTATAGTACTTAGCATACATACGGAGAGAAATACTTATAAACTGTGCAAATTTTATAATAGAGTCACTGCAAAATGGCCTGCTCCACGAAGGTGTTAAAAATCTTTGCCCTAATCTGGGATATAATATATGTTGTAAGTGTGCGCATTTAATATGATTAAAGTGGTTTTTATTGTTTCTTATGAGTGGCGTAACCTGAGCTGAGGCTTGTTGACGGAAACGTTTTGGGGGCCTATGCAAATGAGGTCTAAAACTCTTTTGAGTGCTGTAAATACTATTGGGGCATTATAATTATAATAGCATTAAAAGATATAATTACACGAATAAGACACGTTTCATTAAGACCCACTGAGTTTACTAACTCAGGTCTCTAACTGAAGGTCTCTCACTAAGTTTGTGGTTTGCTTAATTGCAACTAATAATGGCCTTACGGCTCAAATCGTATATAGTATATATATAATTGTTTGTTTCGCAAGAGAGTTCATTCAAACTTTGACGTTTATAAACAATCATTGATTGGGTATCGAGAACTTTGTTTATCTGGGCTAAAGTACATTACTTCATCGCATAAATATTTTTTGTTGAGTAATTAATGCGACTGATAACGGTATACATATATGTATGTATATATACAATTTGATACTAATGTATAATAACATTTAGCTAGAATTACAATTTGATTGGGTAGCTAAATGTTTAACAGCGTTTCAATTACATCTGAAGGTTTCTATTTGTTTTTTTGTGTGTTCGTTTTCTATTTGGTATTTGAATAATAATATGTTGTGTTGTATTCTTATGTTAATCTATTTGGATTGGGCGCAGCTTAATTTAATTTAATTTTTATGTTCATGAAACAGACACGGGCTCTCCATAGAATGGAATGTGAGTCGTGTCTGGCTGTCGTGGTAGAAGTGAAATAAAAATGAGTACACTATACATTTAAATAATAAATAGATAGTAAATAAATAAAATAATATTTACATACGGTATTGCTAACAACCACAATAGATCAGGTATTAGAGAAACATTTTTTGTAATGGAATTTCCATTTATTTGACCTTATCCTTCATTTGTCTCGCTTGCTATAGAAGGCATGTCGCCCACATGCATTCGATCGTTCTGAACTGTCCCCAGCATGTACAAATATAAAACGAAAACAAAAACTTGCCCAGACTTTTTAAAGAAAGACTGCAAAGCTAATATTTGTTTTTGATATTTTTATATGATATTTGCCTTAATTGTGTTTTGCTCGTTGGTTTAACCGCTTGTCAAAATTACTGCATGCCAAAACTTACTTAATTTATTGTTTATTTCTTTTAAGAATTATATTTGTTTTTTCTATGATGAAAAATTACTGCATGCCAAAACTTACTTAATTTATTGTTTATTTCTTTTAAGAATTATATTTGTTTTTTCTATGATAAAAAAATAAAAATAAAATAAATAAATAATAAGAGAACAGATCAACATTACTTTATTGTTCAGTTATGCACGCGGTGTTAAAAATAAATTTGAAATAGAAATATTGAAATATAAAAATTTGGTACACCCACGCCATGAAACTTGGCCCTGAGCAAAAGGCGGTCAAAATATGTATGTGTGTTAAGATTGTTTGTGTGTGTGTGTGTCTATGTACATAGCATCGCGTCATTGGCTCCTAGCCGTATAGAATGTTTAGTTTATTTGTCTTTTGGCTGTGGCTTATTTTTCTGTCTTTCACGCCAACTGAAAATTGGTTGATGTCATTTTTCAGACATTGCAAAATTTTGTTTGGAAAATACATAAAAATGTTTCAGCAAGAAGCTTAACGAAAATCGAGCAAGCAAAATATATGCCGAATAAATGTGCCAGCAAAGGAAATGCCAAAAGAAATAGCGCACAACGTGGCGTATGCGCGACTTTTCCGCATCGGTTCCGAGCGAGTAAACTTTGATTTACTGACGATCTGCTCTTCTGTTGTAGTTGTTGTTGTTTTTAGCTTAAAAATTACTTCATTTGGTGCGGCCGTGTGTTTTTAATTAAATGCCAGCTGTGCCTATACATACTACCCGCCCTGCATTTGAGGTAGGGCACAACCTTTTTTTTGGTTGGTATTTTTCCCAGCTACATTCGAGCGCGTATTTATGTTGTCAAGTCTGGTTGTTTTGTAAAACCCACATAAATCTAAGCGCACATTTCTCGCTCAATGACATTTGTCTAGTTGTTCTCGGCTTGTCTCGACCACATGCTGTTCGCAGAGGCAACAGCTTCAACGGTTTCAACAGCTTCAACAGTTTCAACTGTTGTGTGTGAGCGTGTAATTAGCAGCTGTCTTCGTGGGCTTAGCTCGCCAAAATCTAATCAGTTGCTGCGCCTTATCAGCTGTATGCAAATATTATATGCCTTCTGGTTGGCCTTGCTTACGCACTTGCCGCTCTATATAAATGATAATTGCATTTAATTGTTTGTCTGTGCGACAAATTAGAGCAAAAAATATGCAAATAGCATGTGGCACAAATTAAAATGAAAAATATATGGACAGAGTCCATTAAAGCTTACATCAGTTAGTCGAGCTCTTTAGCTAGTGACTGTTAACCAAGAGCCATAAATTTAAAGCAGCCTAGGTATAAAATCCGACTAAGTATGTTTCTACTATGTGTCTAGTTTAAGTCTTTGTCAAATGTCATGAAAAATAATTGCCAAGAGCATTAGAAAGATAATTGTTATATAAAAATAGATTATTTAGATTACGAAATAAAAAATAAAAATAAAAATTGCGATGAATATAATATATAAATAAATAAAGTAATTGGAATATGTATTCAAGATAAGTATAACTATGTTTAGCAGACAAATTACTTTTGAGATAAGTTAAGCTATATTTGTGCTAGCGTATATTTGGAAAGCAATCTATATTGATTATATGATATTTAAAGAAATATTGGCAACTTATCTATTTATTAAAATCATCAAACAAACCATTATCAACCTGCTCAAATTATCTAATACAAATAATAATTAAAAAGCGTGTCTGACATATTATATATCTAGGTGTACAGTTTTCGTTGCTCAACTTATCTAATACAATTTTAACTGGTGACATGCTATCTATTCCATAAATGCTATTTTCTTAGACCTTTTACTTGTTTGGTTGCTGTGCGACACTTTTTAGCTCTTATCTAAACGGGAGTGCTAATTTGTAGAGATAGCACATGTGACACGTTTGGGGTTACCTAATGTTTACTGATATTGAGGGCGCACTTAAGCAAATAAGTAAGGGCGAAATTGAAGTGATCCAGAGATTAGATCTGATTCACACTTGGTGGGTTCAATGCCATTGTCATTCAGATTCCATTGGCTATGTTTGATTTGACGCCCCCCTTTTTTTTTAGGCACTCCAGAGTTATGTCAGCCTCGGCTGGTCTTCAGCAAGTTGGGCGTCATGTGTAATAAATAACAATTAAATGGCGTGGTATCTAGACATAATGCCAGATGCTTCAAAGTTGCTTAAAGCTAAATAAAGTGCTTGCTGTCTACAGCGTGCTGTAAACACTTTATCAGAGTTTAATTTATGACTTTATCAATGGATCAAAAACTATTTATTTGTCGGCATTCAAATTGCTTTTACAGTTCTATTAATAAATTGTGCCTTCCACATTTTTCTTGGCCATATTTAGCAGTGCCTCACATGAACATGCGCCAGCCTAAGCGACAGCAATTAAATTTGTCTGACAGTAATTTGCATAATTGTAATTCAATAGAAGGGGCAAGGCGGATGCATAAAGAGCTAATATTGTCTGACTATTTATTAAGCATCGACCTTTATTCAATTACGCTATTGAGCCTCAAAAGGCGCAGCTGTGTAAAGATAAACTTTGAATTTATGAAGACACCGCAACCA